CTCTCCCAAGCTCCTAACTCTGTGGCTCTTGTACTGTGTCTCTCTGTGCCCCAGGCTGCAGCTGTGCTAGAGATGAGGTGGTTTGTCTTTCTCTCTCCACTTTGAGATCATCAGGGTAGCACTGAGAACACAGGAGACTGTGCAAGAGTAGAAGCATAAAGAAGGGTGGGAGAGAGCAACCACTGGGAAAATCCCATTCAGTCCTTCATTATGGCCAGCCAAACTGTGGGTAACCCCAGTGAGAACTTTAAGAATTAGCTACACACTGAATATTCTCAGCTGACTTTTTTTCCCTAGTTTATAGCCAAGAAGCCTCTACTGATCAAACAAATTACAGTATTTTACAGACAGTTACAATTTCACCAAATTTGAGGGTTAGGAGATGAGGCACCCTCCCCACTGTCACATGCAAAAGTGGACAAGAGTGCTTGGCCCTCATCTCCCTGCCCCAGAGCAGCATGGCCGTGCTAATTGCTGAGGTTCAGCAACATCAACTCCTGGAATTTCCCCCAGCTACCTCGTTGCCTTCAGCAGGGTTGCACTGCCTGAAGGACCAGGAGGCAGAAGGACCAGAAAGGTTGATTTGCACGTGGGCTAGAGGCCCAGCTAAAATGGGGAAGGGCCAGGAGAGCACAGCCCTCCTGAGACTCTGGAAGGGAGCAGTGGGGAGAGAAGAGTGGCATCCTGGGAGTCCAGCAGCCACTAGCTGGACTATGAGGCCATTGGTCATGGTCTGCAGGCCCACCTGTGGGAGAGGAGGCTTAAAAAGAAGCCATTCAGAGCTCAGGGTTTGCTTGTGGTGTTAACATATTCAGATTTGGTGGGAGTACTCACCTGAGCTGGAAGGGGACTGGACGTTTGTGGTGCCTGGGATGCAGTGCTGAGTCGCGGCTGTGGTGGAGGTAGGCTGCAGGTCTGTGTAAAGACATGGAGACACAACAGCTGCATTAACTTATCATGACACAAGGACGTGTCTTGCATGGTCAGCCTGTCTCCAAGACTGGAATACCCTCTCTTTTTACACAGGAAACAACTAAGGGAAATGACTGACATTTCTGCCCAGAAAACTAGGGGATGATGCAGAGGAAGCAGTGCTGAATCACCTCCAGGAAAGCTGGCAATGGTAGCAGAAACACTCTCCACACCTCTTAGGGAAAATGGACTTGAGGAAACAAAATGGCTGTGGAGCACAAGGCTCCAACAAGCCCATCCTGGCTTCAGAGAGTGCTGACAGCTGGCAGTCACCAGAAGAGGTGACTGGAGCACACTGGACAGAAACATGTGCAGAGATGGAGCAATCCCAGTCTGTCAGAAGAGGCTCAGGTAGAAGGCAGGGACTTCAACAGCTTCTGGCAGCAGCAAGAGATTTTGCTCCCAGCAGAGTTACCTGTCCCCTGCCCTCACCCTCCTGCCCGCAAGCTGGGTGTCCCTCCAAGCTTGATCCAAATGTGATGGGTCAGGGCCAGTTGAAGCCTTTGTGGCTGGTTAGGGGCTGGCAAGCGAATTTTGTTCACACCCACTTGCTCACTCCACCATGAAGTTTTTCTGTTCAGTTCTGTTGCTGGAACTGCATTACCCTTAAAAAAGGAAAGTTGTGGAAATCCATCCTTCTCAAAGAGCAGCTCTTCTTTAACATCGACAAGAATCAAAGACAATGTGCCCAAAGGCTTCTCCCCAGCCCATGTACAGGCTGACAGAGACCCTGTCAACCCACAGATTGCTTGGAGAGAAGCTTTCCAGCTGAACTGGCTTGGCCTAAAGGGTTTAAAAGCAGGGGAAAAAAAAGATCCTTGTGCTGTAAGCCCAAGCCTTCTCCTGCTGTGCTTTATTTCCTGCCCACAATAAAGGAGGGGTCCCTGTACAAGCTGTCACATTCTGCTTGGTCATATTGAGCAGTTGCAGAAGGCTTGCCCCATACAGTTGTGCAAGGAGCTAATTACAATTCTGTAATTAGCCATGTGGAAGGACAGACTGAGCAGGGAAGCACTGCAGTAACAGGCACAGAGAGGTCCCTGAGCCAGGGCCACCTAACAGTTGGGCGAGCAGATAAGTCTGTAAGATGGGATCACTGTAGGGATGAACTATATAGGGGAGGAAATAATTAAATTAAATGTGTCACAGCAAACAAAATACATGCATCAGCTGGACTACTGATAGGAGAGCTAATTGGGCATAGTCATTATGTTACTATGGAGGAAGGTCCAGAAATAGGTGTTCAAGCAGCAAGTTTTAGCAAGCTTCTCCTTTTTTCTGTTTTAGCAGATACACAAAACCAGACTGCATTTGTTTATACACACATCCTGAATGAGGTGTATATTTATTTTTACATTAGGAGAACATTTGTAAATGTAACAAGAACATTTGATGAGTTACTAAATTGAAAAGGAAATGTATTCTTAAATTCGTAGGTCCTGAAAACAATTTGCAAGCAAATACCCTGTTCTCCTGAGAGGGAACTCATTAACCATTGTAAAAGCCTTGCATATATTTGGAACAGGAGTCCTTGCAAAAGAATAATGGTTGCAAACAACTGTCCCGTAAGGTCCATTAGGAAAGCAATGTCTACCCCTCTCAGCTAAAACTCCATCCACTCTTAGTCTAGAAATGAAAAAGCAAATATCCATGGACATACCAGAGAGGATTGACAGATCCCAAAGCGCTGGCCTCCAGGTCCTCCAGTTTCTTTGGAGGGAAACCAACTAATGGAGCCAGAGCACCTTACCCTCAATAGTCAAGAGATAATTAGGTTGGCTACTGATTGCTTTTGTGTCAATGAAATTCAGAATTGATGGATTTGCCTTCCCATAACTTTCCTAATGATCTTCCTGAAATGGCAAGTGGGTCACAAATCACAATCCAGCTAGACTGTTAGTATCAACAACTGATTTTCAACTGCTGGCACAAAGACTTTTGGTTCATGCAGATCCCTGAGAAGAAGATGGACACCTTTGCACAACTCTCTTCACTATGCAAAACCATCTTGAAGAGGTTCAATGGTTTACTAGTCTTACAAAGTAAGAGGATATCCTGACAAAATTTTCCAGTGCAAGCAGAGAAAGGTGGGGATGAAACCTCCCAATCTGGTCTAGTGGAAGGTGTCTCTGCCTTTGACAGTGGGGTTGGAACTAGATGATCTGTTAGGTCCCTTCCAGCCCAAACCATTCTATGATGTTAGAGCATATGTCAGCATGCAAACCATAGGAATCCACTCAGGTGGACAAGGTCCCCTCATTCCATCGATGCAAGGAATGCAGTGCACTGCATGGTTCCCTGGCTCCCTTAGTTATGCAGTGTCTGGCACTTCCTGAGTAACCAGTTTGTCCTGCAAAACCCATCCTGATCTTTAATTGTGAACAAGCACTGGAGTCCTCTATGTGAAAGGTACAAAGAAAATGTTGCTTCTAATCAGAAAGCAACTGCTGATTCAATAGGTTGAATTTGTACCTCATTTTGTTCAAACTTTATTCTGAAATAACATAGGATACTTCTACCTAAATCACACAATTCACTGAAAAATGGGAGTTACTAAAATGGTTACTATTACAAGAGGTTTGAAGGGAAGAACAAGTACACAAACAGTTGTGATCCCACACAGTTTAGGGTTAGGTAAAACTGGACAATTCTGATGGCTTGTGATAAATAACACATGAGGAGTTTAATCCTACTCTTAGTTGGGTAAAAGAGCTAACTGTTCTCAGTGGAATCTGGCTTGGACCTTCTCTGGCCACAAGAGACAATTTTAAAGTTCTTGTGCATTTTCCCAAGAAATGAGCTTTCCACAGCCAGTTTTACTCTTATGAAAATATTTGATCAGAGATCATATTCAGTATCTCAGATGTGCTTTTCCTGCATATGGCAACAATTGTAATCATCATTCACTCTCTTCAAGTCAAGGACTTTTGATAACTAAAATATTATCTTTTAAAAGCCTTTCAAAAATGTAATACAAATCATTCACAGGATTAATCCTTTGAGGATTTTGGGGGGTGTGAGAAAGCAGACATGACTGAAGGTTGCCAAGACACCACACACCAATAACTCCTTTTAGGCTGCAGCTCTGATAGCATTTTAAAACTGCTTAGCATGTAGAAAATAAGAGACTATAGCTGAACAGTTACTGTCTCGCCTAAGTCAGCACATGTACCTGAAGCAGCACTCTCCTCAGCCATGACAAAAAAGCAGGGAATTCTCTGTCCTCTGAAACATTTTTTAAAGTATCATTCTTGGATCAGTCTTCTAGAGTAATCACTTTTCTCTGACAGACAATACCCTTGTTACCAACATAGGCAAACCATTTCCTTTGCGCTGAATTTGTATGAAGCCAATAAGGGGGCCTATTTTGAACAAATAATCCAATCAGTTTGTTAGAGGTGCTTGCTAATGTAAGATGAAAGGAATGTTGTCTATACAAATGACACCACTTTCTTTTTCCAGAGAGGCATCCAGCTTCATATTGGCACATAATTACCTGCATCATTTTTAGCTTAAGGTATAGATAGATGTGCTGCTTTCTCATTTAACACTTGTCTTGCCAGATCGTTATCTGCAATAAATTAAAGTAGCTAGAGAAACCATATAAGAAATCTAGATCAAATAATTTCTTCTATAAAATACTGAGTTTGGTGTTTTCAGGCTGCAGCCACAACAATACTAATGGCCTCATTTTGTCATTGGTACAGGACAGGACAATAACGACAGGGTAGGTCCTCATGAAGTCATGCAAATCGACTGAAGATCTAACCCAGCATCTTTTTTTATTATTCATCTTTGTTACAGATTTCAGGTTCAATCTCGTCCTATTGTGAATTACTCTCTTGAAACTGAAAGGAGACTAGCATGCAGTGAGCAAGTATTTTGCTCAGCAGTAGGTGTTTGCAGGATTGTGTTCTGGCTCATTATCTGGTAATAGCCTATGGATACTGAACTGACTAGCTTTCTGTACAGCAGGGGGAAACGTACACATGAGCATATACACAGGCACATTTTGCAAGGAAACTCACCACTGCTAGAAGCATCGTTGAGATTTAGCAGCCCACCTCCGAGCCCTCTGTAACTATGGTAACTGTAGGTCCCGTTGCCGTTGATGTACAACACTTCCTGTGTGCTGGAAACAGCTGATGTTGAGTAAGTGACCTGGGCTGGCTCCTGTTTGTACTGTTTGTCAGCTGGAGCAGCCTCATCCTGAAAAAAAAACAACAGTGAAAGGTTTTGAATTATTGTTACGTTTTACCTTTCACGAGAGGGTCTTTTTCATTGTTAAGACTCCACATCTATTGCTTTCAGAAAAGTATAATACATGTCAAAAAAAGCACAGGTGTGTTTCTGATTTACCATGTATCCGCTGAAAAGAAAGAGTGGAAATAAGTAAAAATTCCTAAAAATCTGAGAATATTAATTTATTTGTGTTCTACAAGGCAACCATACTGTTTCTTAAAGGAGAAGCTGCATCCTTTCACTCTGAAGAGCTCACAGTCCCCTGCAAAACCCAACTCTGTCCATAAATAGTGTGGGAAAGGATAGAAAAAAGCCACTACTTTCTGAGTGCAGAAATGACTCTTCCAAGCCAGAGAATCATATCTTTATCAACAAGACAAATACAGAATGCACCAACTACTTCTTTTGAAGTATCAGCTTCAGAAATGACAGAAGGAATAGAGGAAGGGAATAAACCAGCATTTCCTGTGTTTGCAGAGGCTGAGTGGGTGTCCGTCCACACAAGAGCCAAGTGGTAAGGATTCCTCTAAAGTCATAGCTTGAAAGCACTGTGAGTGAGTAGTGACTGTACCCCATGAGTTCCCCTCAGTGTTCCCTGTTTGCCTCTTAGATGCTTGCATAATATTTAACAGGATTTAACACAACAGGCCTCCCATGTTTCAGATTAAAGTGTATTTTTCCCCATCTGCACTTACTGCAGTTACTGTTTTAGAGCATCTCACCTCCACGTGTGATTACAGAATGCCCATGTGGCAACTTTAAGAACACACAGGTGAAAAAAAAGAAAAGCATTAAGGGAAGATTTAATGTGTTTTAGTAGTTGGAAACAAGGAAAACTATCAGTGTGTGACTCAGCCCACTGCAGTGACCCTTCATGTAAGATTCTATTTATTTCATAGAATCGTAGAATCACAGAATCACTAAGGTTGGAAGGGACCTTAAAGATCATCAAGTTCCAACCCCCCTGCCATGAGCAGGGAAACCTACCACTAGACCAGGTTGCACAAAAACTCATCCAACCTGGCCTTAAAAACCTCCAGGGATGGAGCACCAACAACCTCCCTGGGCAACCCATTCCAGTTCCTCACCACCCTCATAGTGAAGAATTTCTTCCTAATATCTATCCTAAATCTCCCCTCTCTCAGTTTAAAACCATTATCCTTTGTCCTATCACTACTTTCTCTGATGAAAAGCCCCTCTCCAGCTTTCCTCTAGCCCCTTCAGGTGCTGGAAGGCTGCTGTAAGGTCTCCCCGGAGCCTTCTCTTCCCCAGGCTGAACAGGCCCAACTCCCTCAGCCTGTCTTCACAGCAGAGGTGCTCCAGCCCTTTGATCATCTTGGTGGCCCTTCTCTGGACCCTCTCCAACAGCTCCATATCTTTCATGCCTCTCTCTTCTGCACACCCTTTTATGGTTGCTAAATACAGCAAACTTGCTAAGAATGCTATGAAGTATCTCCAACCTTATTTTTAAGCATTTACTTAAATATAAGAATGAATATACCAGCACAGAGGGACCGTATAGTTCAGCGTCCAGTCCCTGTGTTGAAGCAAAACGGGTTCTGAAACATCTTTCCTGTTTGCATTAGGAGCAGTCATCAGTTCCACCTCTGAAATAAGATACTAGCAACCTTTCTGAGGTGAAGATACCTCTGTCCTGTTGATATTTCCTGGTGAAAGGTGCTTGGGCACAACTGAGATGACTCAAGAGAAGGTATATATATTATTAACAGAAATTTTAATATTTCATACAGAACACTGAACCATCAGATAATTAATCCCATAAACAATCAGAACGGGGCCTCTTGGGAACCAATATAGGCTGAGGCAAAGCTTTTAATTTTTTAAGAGAGTTGGCAAAACTGCTATGTGAGGTTTTTTAAGTAATAATAAACAAAGGGCCAAAATTGCAAGGTATTTTTGCCAGGAATTCAACTTTATCATCATTTACCTTTCATCTTCAAAGATCATTGCTATGTCTTATAAGAGAAATTGTATTATTTTCTCTGAGAAATCATCAATAAACTACACAGTAAAGTTCTATCTTGGCAACAATGCTCAACTCATTGTCCAAGTCTTTAACACTCTCATGGATGAGATGTTCCGTATCCTTATGTCTCAAACGAGATGATACTTCCTGCCATTGACTCACTAAGAGGTTAATTTTATTTTCAGAAAGATCAACAAGGGATCTTCTGAAAATTTATCAAAGGACTGGGCTGTGTTTAAGGAGTGCAGTGCAAGGAGGACTAACTCTTATAGGTAAGCAGAGTATCAGGGGGCCTGTCTCCTTATCCTGACTGCCTGGAACACAGAAATTTGCTGTTCCTGAACTTATGTGTCCTCCACAGCCCCTCTAGTCAGTGCACTGAAAACCTATCAGTGAGTTTCCTGCAGAACTAACACACTGAACTTTTAGCAGAGCCTGGCCAGAGAGCACAGCAAGGGCATTTGATGCACCCTGGTGTGTGCCAGCCCACATGTTAGAGCACACGGCCAAGAAGTGGGAGACCTGAGTTCTGGATCCTCATTGGAATACATGGTGAAGAGGTGGAACATTTGGGATGCAGTGTCTTTGCTAGCTGTGGTGAGGATGGGACCTGAACTCAGAGCTGCCATCTCCTAGCAACCAGGCTCAAAGCCAGACTGCGGTGGGAGTTGTAGCTGAGGCTGTGCCACTGTGGAGAAAGAAAAGCACAATTTGTGGGGCTTCAGAGATAGCAAACAAAAAAGGGAGCATGACTCAGTTCCTTTTCAGATAAATGCTACCCTGGGAGGCTTCCAGCCCAGCTCCTTTCCAGCTACTCCTGAAAACAAAACTCACAAGCTGCTCAGAGGTCAGGAATCTAAGGCTGGGGATGCACTGCTGAAGGGGGTTCTTTGTATCGAACTATTCACAGCCTGTGCAACACCAAGGTGTGTCATGGGCTGGGACTTGAGGTGGAGCCCAGTCATCCTGATGGGGAATGCACTCCTGGGAAAGATGGAAGGGGTTGAGGAGGATGCTGAGCCCCACACTCCTGGTTCTGCACACGAGCCTTAATGTCTCAGACATTAGGCAAAAGATGGCCTGTACCTAAATGATGCAAAAGTTGCCATACATTTCAGTTCTTGAATCCTGGGACTTACTTAAGTTCCAAATACCCTTACCTCAGTGCTTCAGGATGACTAAATGCAGAAGCAGGGCAGGATTTTTGGCGGGTGCTTTCCAAGCAGGCTCAGATGTTAACCCTACTGGTAGGATTATGAACCATTAGTGTGGTCCCAGGGCAGAGTGGGGGTTACCTCTCACACATTCCCCTGGGATTTAAGCAGGGAATGACTTCAAGTTGCAACAGGGTAGGTTTAGACTAGACATTAGGAAAAAAAAATTCACAGAAAGAGTGGTCAGACACTGGAATAGGCTGCCCAGGGAGGCGGTTGAGTCACCATCCCTGGATGTGTTTAAGGGTCATTTGGATGTGGTGTTGGTGGATGTAGTTTAGGGGAGGACTTTGTAGAGTGGGGATGATGGTTGGACTCAGTGATCCCAAGGGTCTTTTCCAATCTGAATAGTTCTATGATTCTATAATTCATTTTTCAGAAATGTTTTGTACTTCAAAAGGCAAAACTGTAGCCTTTTTCCTTGTAGCCGCCCCAAGGGTAAAAAAGCCAGACTTTCCTTTTCTTGAGGAGAGAGAGAACATAAATATCATACTACTCACTTTTGTATATTTGAGATGTATTCTGTACAGATTCATTCTCTTCTTTCTTTCCATCTTAATTGCTTTTGCTTATAAACGAATGTAGAAATTAAACAAATACAGTGTTGTTTGAGAACTGAGATATGTTTAATATTCTGTGTTAGTCATTCCGCATTTCTTGTTTCCCCCTATATTATGTTTGCACTAGGAAGGCTTAATAATTTATTTAAAATGTTATTTTAAAATATTTTAATTCCATAATTATCAGTAAAAAAATCACTAGCCATTCATTAATACATACCTGGAACACACATTGTTGTAATTCATAACAAATTTATGAAACCTGTAAAGTATTAACTATTTTTAAAATATTAATAATTTCCCTTCAGTAAGAAGCATTAACAAGATGGAGATAAAACATTTGTCCACCTAGAATCTGAATTATCGTCAACATTTTGTATATGGCAATGGAAATAAGTCATCCTTTTAACAATATCTCTTTTCTGAATTGGTTTTGAAGGAGAATTAAGCATATAATTGAGCACATAATCTAGAAAATTATGGAAATCAAAGAAATGCAAAAATACCTTTTATGTACAAAAGCATGCTAAAATAAAAAAGTTATCTGTTCACTTGAAGAAGTGGAACCATGAAGTACATCCTCAGTTTGGTATATATCAGAGATATCGATCTCAATGTTATACCCAGGTCTGTACTAGGAGAATGTTGGGTTTTTTTTCCATAAATGAGTGAACAGATCAAGTTATTTTATCTTATTTTTAATCCTGGAAGCAATTGAATAACCTTCTAAAAAAAGTACAAAACAAGAAAGGATTTCACGAGTTATTGCATAACCAGTATATTGAAAAAGCCCTGCCCTGTTTTGCTTGATTTTTAAGGAGGTGGGTGTTGGCATCTTCTCTCGTGTAAATAACAAGATTGGAGGAAATGGCCTGAAGTTGCACCAGGGGAGGTTTAGACTAGATATTAGGAAGAACTTATTTACTGAGTGTTCAGGGCCTGGAATTGGCTGCCCAGGGAGTTGGTGGAGTCACCATCCCTGGAGGTATTTAAAAACCTTGTAGATGAGGCACTTCAGGACTTGCCCTAGTGGGCAATTTTAATTATTTATTCATTTGTTTGTTTATTTATTTATTTATTATTTTGGAGCAGGGTGGGGGGTTGACAGTTGGACACAGTGATCTTAAAGTTCTTTTCCAACTGTGACAATTCTGTGATTCTTGTGATATTCTGAGCAGTGCTAATCAATAGTTGAAAAGGAAATAC